ACATACATTGTTTTGTTTAAATCAAATTAAAAATGTAAATTTATGAGTCAACGCAGCAGAATAAACAACTTTAAATTAAGAATTATCTGCCCCCCAGGACGTCCAGCCCCTGATGTAAACAGTCTTTTATCAACATTTAAGTAGTCATCAGTTTCATACAATTATTCACAACAAATTTTAGGACTAAGATAACAAGTACAAATAGCAACAATAGCAGCCAGCTGTAGCACTTCTTTGCAGCCTGAATTGCTCCTGGAAGAATAAGTTTATTATATTTCTGCTGGATTACATGTAAAACATTAAACTGACGGTGGTGTAAGGTTATTATTTTAATGACTCTGTGTGAGAGTTTTCACCTGATGGGCTCCAGTGGGGGGCAGGCGGGGGGCCAGGGCTCTTTATGTGCTTCAAGACTGTCGATGATCCTGTGGCGAAGGTTCCGAAGATCTGATCATTTTAAAATAAAAGTTAAAAAACAGGACATCTGCTGTACTTTAGATAAATCATGTCAGATTGAGACATTACTGTCCCACTGAACTAAACTCCAGAGCTTATCTACTTTGTTAGAAACATAATTCTATGAAATAAACAAGGCTGTCTGTAAACAAACATGCGGCTTTATGATTGGTGTCAGTGTGCACAAATACCTCGGTAAGGCCGTCCTGTTGAATCAGCTTCAGAGTAAGCAGGGAAGAACTGCACAGAGAGATAAACGCAGGGTTTAGCTTATAGGGAGAAAAAAAACAGAGGAGTGAGCGCGGGTCAGACGACCCTCACGAGACGACATGCAAACTGAAGTTGAAGGAAGGGTGAGGGGCGTTTGGTTCTACCCGCCTTGACCTGCTCAAAATGAGTCACAGATGTTGAAGCTGCGTCTGTGAGCTCACACAGAAGGAGCTCTTTGTCTCGTTGATTTTCACTGAGAGCAGCTTGAACACATGCCGCTGCCGCTGCCGCCTAATTCTACCTGCTCCAAATACAAACACAGATGTTTGAAGTGGGAACATTTCTGCAGTGTGGCTGCCGATCAGGAAAATATTAACTCTGCTGTAAACATTCTGCAGAGGATCTGATCTGAACTGTAAAATCCACATAATAATACTGCACACAGAAGAGCTGTGCTCTTATACTGACATAAACAGACTTATTTCTACACATAACGTCTACTTAGTGAAGAGGTACTTATGTTGGATTTCTAAAATGTAAGTTCAATTTGTTCTTTATTTTGTAATTTTATATATACGTATATATATTTAACTTTTTTCATTAATTTTATTAAAACAATCAGTATTCACACTATTCCTGTTTTTATTATCCCCTTATGATTTTCAGCATCTAATAACTTCTGCACACTTTGGTCTACTTTACCTATTATTATAAAGCTCATTTAGGAGACGAGTGCTATGAATGATTTTTAGTTTTCGTAACATTTATACTTTTCAAAATAAATGTGTCTAAATTTGTAGTGGTGAACTCCAGCCTGTCTCAGTATAGCTGTATACTAACACCAGACTGGTAGCTCTGTCCAGTTCTTAGTCAATCTGCCTGTTTATTACAATTATCTCATAATACTGAGCTGCTGACAATAGTCTGAGTCCCATGAAGTGCTTTAAGTTAACTTTGTGTCTTTTTTTCTCATATCTGGAATGATTGAACTTGAACTGAGAACTAGAACTGTCCATAAAGATTCTGGTCAACAGCTTTTCAGATTACAGTTTAAATTATTAGACTTCATGAAACTTAACAGAGAACAAACTGCAGACTCCTGTTTGTTTAGATTTTTAGGATCAAAATGAAATTTCACTTCAGTCTGTTTGACTGTCAAAAAAATCAATGGATCATCAGTCAAACAGATTATAATGAAGTCAAACCTTCCAGGTTTGTGTTTATCTGCCTTTTTACAGTTCATCTTCAGTCTATTAGAGGGGATCCCAGCTTTTTTTCCTCTAAGCCCCACCCTTCCCTCACTACTCTCCACATCTCCCAAAGACGCATTCAATCTTTATCTCTATGAAATAATAAAAGAATAAAATAATTAGTTATAAATGTTTTATTTTGAAAAGGAAAAGAAAAGAATTGAGCTTGGGAACCACTGGTCTAACATGTGTTTCTTGATTTATTTCACATTTCAGATCATGTGTTTCCTCATCATCTTTTGTCCCATTCTCCACCGGCCTTTGTGCCCTTATGTTATGCCTCTTTTATGAAATATTATTAAATCTACTGGAAGTGGATATTCCCACTTCTTTAAAAACACCTTCTTAACCAGTTTATTCTTCTTTCTAAGTGTTTTAGATGTTTATAAGTTTTGGCTTCTTTTTAAATACTTTTCGTGGCCCATCTGTCTTAGTCTGTGTCAGGTGATCATTTATTGGCCTCAGGTCATTTGTTCATCTTTAAATATTTCTTTGATTGTATTCAAGCTTTTTTGTCTTTTAATTTTGTATGAAAATATCCTGTTAGTGAGAGTTTTGCAGCTCTTAGCAGTTATTTCTCTGTAGTTCAGTTTGATGCTTCACAATGTTCTGTCTTTTTGTTTGTTGTGTAGACAGTTTTAAAGCGTGGTCACTTAACATCCTCAGAATCAGAATATTTAATTGATCTCAGAGGGAAATTACATTTATTTCAGTTGCAACCATTCAAATAAAATACTTAGAGAAGACAAGAAATGCACAATAAAATAAAATAAATAAAATAAAATAAATAAAATA